CCTCCACAACTAGACAGAAGAACAAAAGGACAGCAACTTGTCTGTTCCCCTTCCCCCAATTCCCCAGCGCTGTTCCCCTCCCCCAATTCCCCAATAAAATATTTTTAAAAAAAGAAGAAAAGAAAAGACATTGACCCGGTAGAGCCCAACAAAAAAGAATAAAAACCAAGAGAGGAAGTTATTGAAACAATGGCTGATCTATTTTGAAATATGTAATGCCTTCAATATTGGGAATAGTTTCATTTCATGATAATTACTAAAGATGCTATCTTATGGAGGAGGGTAGAATTAAAAAAACATCTGCTCTGAGTGTCAAATAGGCTAGATAAGACACCAATCTTCCTCTTTCAGTCCTTTTCTGAATTATTTGTTGTCTGGAGGTGGGTGATGGGGGTTGATAGACTGGTTCTGGTCCCTTATAGAAAGCTGTTAAAGAGCATGTCAAGACCCTCTCTCTAAAATGTGGGATTATTTGTCATGTATTGTACTCAGATAACAGGAAAAATCTCATTCCACATCCTGTTACAAATGCATAATGACCATTTGGATTTCCTCTTCTGCATCTTGCATGTTTACATCCTTTGTCCTTTGTCTTTTCTTATCCACCAACAAGAGCTCTTGGCAGATCAAAGACCAGAGATCAGTTGGACCAGCTGCCTGTTTCTGTAAGGCCTGCAAGTTAAGAATAGCTTTTACAGGGGCCGGCCAAGTGGTGCGTTTGTTAGGAGTTGGCTTGGGATGCCAGCTCTGAGCAGCAGGGTCCCAGTTCGGATCCCACATGAGGGCCAGTGACACTGCGCCCTCTACAGCTAAGATGGTGAACAACAGCTCGACCTGGAGCTAGGCTGCCGTGAGTCACCGGCGATGGTGTAGGCTGCAGTGGGGCTGGCCGGCAGCTAGCATGTGCTTTCGTGAGCCGCCGTGAGCCACCATGAGCCACCGTGAGCAGCTGTGCAATGGCCGGCGATCGATCTGCCTCAGCCAGGAAGAGTGCGATGATAATACCAACATGGGCCAGTGAAGCGACATCCTCCACAACTAGACTGAAGAACAAAAGGACAGCAACTTGTCTGTTCCTCTCCCCCATTTTCCCAATAAAATCTTAAAAATAAAAAGAATAGTTTTTAAATTTTTAAATGGCTGAAAAAATCAAAAGAACAATATTTTGTGACGTGTAGAAATGATATGAAATCCAAATTTCAGTATCCATAAAGTTTTATAGGAACACAGCCATACTCATATGTTTATGGATGGTCCGTGGGTGAGTCAGTGCTGCAAAGACAGACTTGAGTAGTTAGCAGGGAGAGACCTGATGGATCTTAAGCCTCAAATATTTACTGCCTGGCCCTTTACAGAAAATGTTTGCAGACCCCTGCTGTAGACAATACCACTGTCCATCAGATGTGTTGCACACATTTTTCCCATCCTGTCCTTTAAATTTGTGGCTGCTTCTACCAATGTTTTAATTACAATTTTTATGTCTATCTTTTTCCTTTATGGCTTTTTGGTTTCCTGCTTTGCTTAACAAAGTCTCCCCAACCTAACCTTGTGCCAATATTCTTCTAATTTTAAAAAATTAATTGCTTTATATTTTGCTTTAGATCTCTCATCTACCTGGAATTAATTTTATTTATGATGTGAGGATTTAACTTTATTTTCTTCCAGACAGACAGCCAGTATTAAAACAGGGCCCATTTGGGAACCCCACAAAAGAGGCCTCGCCTCTCCCTGCCCTAGAGCTTAACAAGTGATCAACCCCCACCCTGCAGTTTGAGCTTGGAATGTCCCCTGTCCCAGTTCCTGAGCTTAGGATGTCCCCTCTCCCAGTTCCCAGCTTTAGATAATTGCCCTGAAATTTATGCTTGCTTACTAGTCACAATGCACCCCATGCTTGCTGATTACCATCTTTATGGCCT